CTGCTCCCGACCCCTCTGAATGGTAAACTCTGACCCTCGCTAGTCTATGCGACCTGCGTCAACTCTATAGGTATGGTACTGTGCTTGCCTCAGAGTGTAATCTATCCAGTTTTTGAATTCATATTATATATCTATTGATGCATAATCTTCCTGATTAGTTGCAACTCTAGGCTTCTCCAGAGGTAGAGGCCCCTTTAGGCAAAATGATTCCACTCCTAACAACTTTCATACTCTCAGAAAGAGAAGAACCCCAAAACAAAGGACGAATTTCTCCATCTCATTTCCCTACTTGTCTGCACAAAGTCTCTATTTTTGAGCTGGGACAGTATAACTACCCTGACATGTAATGCCCTAACATCATTACACACTTGCCTCTTTGGCTTTAGGGTAAGAATTGGGTTTTAATTCCTAAACACTCTACCACCCTAACTTATCCAGTGCTGGTCCCTAAACACTGTACACCCCTCTGCCAAGATAGTACATGGCTCTTTCTCTTTTCTTCCCCCCGCCCCCAAATATTTTTTTCCCAGTCATCTCCCGCTGGTTTTACGGAGTTGAGACTCTTTTTGGTGGAGTGTCTACTGGTGCAATTAAGGCTTTTCTTAATGGACAAAGGTACTGGGCACTAAAAAATATGAGGAAATGTTCTCATTTCATACCAATACTCTGAACTAGACGACGAAAGCAGTTTTTGCTTTTGCAGTATTACTCTACCACATTTGCTTTTTGGAGAGACGCATTTAAGCCTCAAATATCCTGTGAGAGGCCCTACGCTATTAAGAGCTCAGTTAAGATTTACATAGAACACCTTATGCAACACCACTGAACACCTGTCTGCAAGTCTGTGGAGAAACACAAACCTGCGTTTCTAACGAATAACTTCTCTTTGCTTTTTGTTGTAATGTTAAGTTGCTGCTGCAACCCCTAACTGCTGGTGACTTTCATTAAGGTAAACACGTCCCACCTGATGGAGTTAGTCGGGTAGAGTCCTCGAAGGAGGCTGAATAACACTGTTTCCAGGGAAGGGTCGAGCGGGGAGCAGCGGGGTGCGGAGCCCGTGGAGCCCCGCACGGGCCCGGCGTCT